GATTGAATATTACCGACGAGTCGGGTTACGGAGTTAGCAGAATGGCGGGTGATAACCCAGAAATGGAAAGGAGGGATAGGCCCAAAGGTGGGCTTGCAGGAGTGCGCTAGCGGACGTCGGAGCTGTCCGGAAGCCTTCGGGGCTCCATACTTAGGGAGGTGTAGGTAATATATTGAAAAGAGGGGGTGGTAACCATCAAGGGAAGTGGAGGTGATTCCGGAATACGGGAGCTCCGAGGTTAGTGAAGGAGCAGAGGTAGTCCAGAAAGATCGGAGGTAGTGGAAGTCGATGGCCGTGGATGGATATGACATCCATAAGGCTTCCTCAGCAAACTCCCTCATTTCGGTTCACCTCCTCTTCATGATCTCAGAGACCTCCTCTGAGGCTGGCGACCTTGCCTTGTCTGGCATGGCATGGGGTAGTGTAAACAGCGGAAGTTCTTTTTGAGCTTCCGCACTCTGAGAGATCCTGCTCTCAGGGTGTTTCTTTGTGCCTTCTCAGGCCTTTAGCCTGAGAAGAAGTTGATCTTCGTTTTCCGTCCTCCATTCGGATGGAACCTGGAACAAGTCCAGTAGTTTTTCGGATAGCCGATGTGGAGGTTCTTCCCTCTGTTTCCCTTTGTCTGCCTTTGGGGCTTGACTTGGGGAAATGGGGGAGGACTCCAGGGGATAGTGGGGCCCTGGAGTTTCCTGTGACTCTATCCAATCAGCTTTTCGGGCTGATTGTTCAGCGCTTATGCATTTATCGTGCAAGTCGATCACCACATGAGGAGGCAAGAGATCTTCCCCAGCTTGGGTGAGATCGATGTGACATGGAGTTCTAGGGGTATTGGGCCCCACACTTACTCCAGGTAAGTTTTTGAAACCTTCAGGGACCAGCCCCAAGGTGGTTGTTCTCTCTGGATCGTGTTGATCCTCATTGTCTGATGATGGCTGTTGATTTGAATCTCCCATGATGGGAGATTGCAGTTTCTTTATAAACCGCTCGTTTTTCTTTATCGTCGCTGCAGACATGACCTTGCCCTTGTGGGTGTGTTTAGGCACCATCGGTGCTACCGAGTCAAGTTGTTATTTCGATTTGATTGTCTTGGTGGGTTGTGTTGTAAAACACACCTCATACACTTAAAAAAGTGTGAGGTCTCAGTGGGCTAGCTCAGCACACAGAGCCATAAGTGATACGAAGGTGTGTATTTTACAGTGTGTGTAAGCAGTTAACGGAAGTTACCACTTACCCCATGTGACTATATGTACCTCGTAATTACATATGGCTTGGGGTTTGGGGCTATTTCCCTGACAGTTAGACTCTGTGGTATAACCGAAAGGAGGTAGGGAGGGAAAAGCCCAGAGGGGCAGGAGGATGAGGTGAAGTGGGGTTGGTGACTAACTGGCTAAAATGGAAGGAAGGTCCAAATAGGAATGAGGGGAAAGTGCAAAAGATACATTACAAGCGGCGAAAGTGCCAGTATGGTCCATGGAGCTCAGAGGTTGCAGAGCTTACGGAAGTTGTGGAGGTGAGGTTGGAAGTCCAAGAAATGTTGGCAATGGTGTTTACATAGGATGAGATCACCAATGCAATGGACTTAAGCCGAGGTGGAGTCAAAGTCCAAGGTTGGGGACATGACAGGATCTCGGAGCGAAGGTACGAGCAGTGTCCCAGTATGGGGTACAGGACTGTGGTGGAAGGTCATAACTTTGGTGGAGGTTGGTGGAAGAGGGGAGGAGGGAGGAGAGTGATGAGAGGAGTGGAGAGAGGAATGGGGTCATGTCTGAAGGTGAGTATCGGAGCAGACAGAAGGTGAGGGGTGATAGGAGGTGTTGAGAGGAGTGGGATGAGAGGCATCACATCCGAAGGTGGGTATTGGAGCGGACAGTGGTAAGGTAGGACTCCGGAGGTGGTTGAGGAGGGTCCAGAAGTCAGTTCGGGATCGGGTATTATGACACAGATGATCAATGAGTGGTGGAGGTTCTGTTGGAGGGCAGCACATATATTGCTGGAAGGCACTAGTGTGTGACCCCTTCCGGACGTTGCCAGAAGGTTTGGTCTAACCGAGTTTACTTGGTTAGACCATGTGACTTGCCCCCACAAGTCACACTTTCTTCCTTATTTGGCTATTTTGGACTTTTCTGCAGAGGCCACAAACTATATTCATTCATTTGAATTAGTTTCCTTTTTCCCTTGGTTCTCATGCATTAGCTTGAGACTGAGGTTAGTTACAACTGTCATATCTGTGCATACCCGATCCCAACCCGACTTCCGGACCTCCTCCTTCCTTACCTCCAGAGTCCTACCCTACTGCTGTCCATTCCAATAATCACCTTCGGTCCTGGCAAACACCGCCCCTCTCGCCACCTTCCTACTACTACTCCTCCTTCCCTCTCCTCCCCTATCTCCATCCGCTCCGATACTCACCTCGGACCGAACACCGCCCCTCTCACCACCCTCCTATGTTATGGAAATGGGAAATTCCCTTTTTTAGCCTCTTATGGCCTCTGTACAGTATATTATCACGTGACATGTATATAATAACAACCTAACAAACTATTATCACCCAAAACACCCGATGTCCATGTTATTGTAAACCCCACTGTTACAACATCTGTTACATTAATTGTAACATCTTCTCAATGTCACGGCCCTCTCCTGCACCCGAACGCTATAGAAATGGGCCAATTAGGCCCCATTTTTATAACATCCTACCACTCCTCCTCCTACTCCTCCGCTCCTCCCTCACAACACCTCCACCCTTCCGTCATCCTCCTACGCTTCTCCCGTCCACTCCGATACTCACCTTCGGACCTGACAACTCTCCTTTCCGCCACTCCTTCCCTCTTCCCTTTCTCCTCTCTCTCCCCTCTGGTACTCTTCTGCCGACCCCCTGCCAAGTTACGACCTTCCACCGCTGTCCCGTACTTCGTACTTGGGCACCGCTCGTACCTTGCTCTGAGCCTCCATCTTAGTCCCTACCTTGGACTTTGACTCCACCTCGGTCTTAGTCCATTGCATTGGTGACCTCATACTACGTAAACACCATTGCCAATATTCCTCGGACTTCCAACCCCGCCTCCATAAGCTCTGCAACCTCTGAGCTTCGCGGATCATCTCTGGCACTTTCGCCGCTTGTAATGTATCTCTCACATTTTCCCCTCATCCCTATTTGGACTGCTGCTTCTTCCCATTCTAGCCAGTTAGTCATCACCCCCACTTCTCCTCATCCTCCTGCCCCTCTGGGCCTTGCCCTCCCTACCTCCTTTCGGACGTATCACAGGTTCTGTCTTATGACCTTCGGTACCGCTCCGCTGCTGTCTACCCTTTGTTCCCATTCGGACGTCTTCATTCTGATTTGGATCCCCTTTGTTTCCTTGTGCTTTTTCCCCCTCCATTATATATATCGGCGCTTGTACATACTTGTTTTGGCCTCAGTCCAAAATCGACCTGAATGCCCCCTAGAGACTTCCTGCTCGCCTACTGTGAAATTAAGGACCAAATGGACAAACAGCAATGGCACAGCGCTCCGCTTGAGTCGCTGAGGCCAAGGTCCTTCCATGCTAAGTCTCCGATTCCACTCCGGAGTTGTCTGTATCTGCGCATCTTCATCTCTCTAACAACAACATTCTTTTACTCTTATTTCTTATACATTGTATATTACCTTATAGCTTTAGCATTAGGTGATATTACAGTTCTCACACATTAGCTTGAGACTGAGTGTCATATCCTGGAATCCCGACCCCGCATTCTCCCACCTCATCACACCTTCCTAACAACTTCATCATCCCCTACACCATAACTCCCCACTCCCCAAGTCACCTTCCTTCCTAACTGTCTCAGCTCCGGCCTTTGGATATGTAACTCCGCCTTCGGAGCTACCTGCATCCTCCAGTGATCCCCCTCACATCATCACAAATTAGTCACCTTCCATTTATAGTACAACTGTTGCCTTCTTTCCATTCAGTCGGCTAACCTCCTCTTACCCATTTCTCGTTCCCATTCATCCTCCCACCTTCTACTCTGGCCTTCTCGACCCAACACCTTGGTTCCCCATTAAGGATATCGTTCAGGACCTTTCGGTACCTTTCAGTATTATTTGGCACCTTTCAGTGTTTTCAATTATCACTTGGACTTTGACTAAAGTCCTTCCCATTCCTCCATATATAAATACTTGTAGATTAGAACCTGTAGTTCCCCAGTTCTAATCTCAACTAAAAGTTACCCCAAGTCCCTCTATGAGTGAATCCCGACCCCTTCCTACAAGATACCTCAGACACATGAAATATAAGGACTAACTGAGATGTAATGGAGGCACAGCACTCCCTCCGAGTCACTGAGGCCACGTCCTTCTTAGAGCCACTTGTACCACCCAGCAGACCTGGGCTTCCTGGAGAAGCTTCGGTTCACTACTGGAGCTCTCAGATCCCCTCTAGTTGAGCCCTGCCTGCATTCAGACTCATGCACTTTCCCTTTTCGTGTGGGGTTTTGACACTGAGCTTTAGCATTAGAGCAAGCAGTTATTCCGTTAGGTTCAACAATGATGTGGTAGTGATGGAAGAGGAGCAACAGGTACTGATTGATGCTTTGATGCTTGGTATGGTGTGTGACCATAGGGGGTCCAGGTGGTAGTACTTGGAGGCCATGAGAATTTTCTGGGCAAGTTGCTCGTTGCTTGCCCTGAACTGTGGCAGTGTCTGGAGGTCTTCTCACGCTTCCGTGCTCACACAAGTGTACAAGGCAATGAAACAACAACTGGTAGAGAAAGGAAGGAGGTGGGGGGTCAGGGCTTGGGTGCTGGGCCCTGACATGGAAATTTCCACCTACAAAGGTGCGAATGAAATAGGGCTCATTAATTGCAGAATATTCGGAAAGACTCAGTGCTGAACTTTCATTACAAATGGAATAGGGGTTGATGAGATATTCATGTTTTGGTTCATCACAGATATATGTCACAGGACCAGTTGAGAAGTTTGACAGGTGTTGTGACCACTGGTATCATAGATATGAGCATAAGTAATACATGTGGTCATCATGGCTTGTTCATCCAACAGAGCATCCCCTCTTATAGCCTTCTTTTCCCCTCTTGGGCCTAGAGAGTCTCCTTTTGCTCCCACTTGCAGCACAACACAAGTGAAATATCAAAATCCTTTACTACATAAGATAACGTTCTATTCATTAAGAAATCAAGGCAACAACACTTATTCCTAAGTATTTCCCCAAATGCCATATCCATACCCTATATTTGGAATCAGAAAAGAGGGGGGAAGTGTTCTTCAACCTCTGCTCTGAAGTCTACTGTTGTTTTTGATCCTGATTCCCGTGCTTCCTTCAGAGTACGGTGGCCTGAGATAAGCTCTGACCAGAATGAGGCTGGATTGAAGAATACCATTGATCCTCGCCCAGTGCCTATATGCCTCAATGGCTGGGTGTTGAACTCATTTGGGGTCTCGAAATTCTTTGTAACCACCAAATGCTTCGAAAATTCTGATCGAAAATAAGACATGATTCATGAGCCCAAATTTGCCTTCTTACCTTGGAGATCCACATTGAAATGGGTTATCAGAGCGGAGGGGAAGATGACAAAGGATCCAGGTGGTATCTGCAAGATTACTCGCCCTTCCAAATTGACCAGCCATGCACATTCAGCATGTGCAAAGAACCCTGAAACGTTCTTCAGAGGGAACAGTGCTATGAAGTGTGTTTGGCACTTACCATAAACGTATACAGCACAAACTCCTGCTGCTATGTTATGGTGGTCCTTATGAGGCCACGTATACACATGTTCCACCTCTGAGTCCTTGAGGGGTGCATTGATGGCAACGCTAAAGAACAAGGAGGCTACGGTTTTCACCTGAAGAGGCTCATAGGCCTCCCAAAACTGCTGAACCTGTTTGTACTTTTGGAATACACCTGGGTAATACATGAGGAGCATCTCTGTGAGGTGCGAGCTGGCCAAAGGAGGGTTACCCCTGACTGCAGTAGCAAGGGTTTGCAACACACCTGATGAGTTGAAATTCCTGTGAATTCAGGAACTGGTCGACTAGGGTTTGGTTCTGCTGGTGATAAGCCGTGAGGAACGGATACTAGGTAGCGATACTCAGCAGGGCACCGTTTGAAATAAATCCCATACCACCTACATTCTGGTTGTTCCCATTAGCTCTGTTAAATCCTATGTGTACTGTACCAAATGGGCCTCGTTTTCCCTGGTATGAAACACCTGCAGAGCGGCTAAAAAGCCCATCTATTTGATGCAGTAGCCTAATCTGAAAGGCGTCTGTACTAGTTACTGAGTGGGGGAATGTCCGGAGCATCAGGAGTCTTCGCTCCCTGTCAGAAATGAGCGTTGGGCCCTTGAGATTAGGCCTAAACAAAATATGAGAACCTCCCAGTTTTCTATACTCCTGAAAAGCGGGCACTCACTGGTATGGAACAGGCTGTAGGCGTTGCAGCCATTGGGAACGGGTTTCCAGATTTCGAACTAAAGCTTCATCCTTCTTTAACTTCTTTCGCCTGGGCCCTGAGATACCGCTGGCTGCTGTTTCATGGCTTGAAAACAGAGTACGGGCTAGGAAGCTTGTTGCTTGTCGACGTAATCTTCTCTCCAATCTTGCCTGGGAGCGGGATCCATCCTTCGAACGCTTTTGCTCCAGGTGGGCTTCATTAAAAGCCTTCTTGCCCTCACGTTGTTTCTCTCGACGCGCTGCGTTTTTCCCTTTCTTCTTTGGAGGTGCTGAGCTGGGTGGGTGGGCTGGATCTTCATTCCTACGAAAGGGTAAGAGGCAGTCACCCAACCACGGCCTAACACACGACCTACCTCTCATTCAGTTCGATAGGAGGAAAAACTGCCTCATCGCCTTCTACATAGCCCGTCAAGACGTCGTCCTCATCAGGATCTGACAGGATCAGCAAGCCCCCATCCTGGGTAGAGTCGGCGCCGTCATCGCTGATACAGGAGGCCAGGGAAGAAAGCGAGCTAGGGGATGAAGGGAGTTTTGGGCTTCCAGGCTCTGCTGTTGAAGCCTTATCGCTATTGTAGAGGTTGAATGTTTGCCCTGTAGCTAGCCTAAGGGCCGCGATGCTATCCCAGAGTGACACCTGAGTTTCCAGCATATAAGCCTAGAAGAGTAAATTAAAAGCTCTTAAAAAGGAGGGCCTGCTAACTTACCTGCTGCCCTGAGGCAAGCTGAACTAGCTTCCCCCTTGTCAGCCTCATGCTCGTACTCTCAAGAAGCGGGCCCCAGGAACAACAGGCAAATAAGCTAAAATTTGAAATGGAGGGCGCCAGAAACTGGTTGAGGCTGCACTATCTAGTCGATCAAGTCGTGCTGAGCCCTATGCTGGCCTCAAGGATGCGAAACAAGGAGAAACGGTGGATACACCAAGAACGAGGATCTAGGGCTGAGGCAAACCGATTAAGCAACCAGGCGGCTCCCTCCTTCCCTCCGATCAAGTACTGAGACCTGGAACCTAAATCCCCACCCCGGAAGGCCTGTTGTTTCCTGTCCAGTCGCTAGGCAGGAGAGCGGGTAAACCGTTTACTGTTTACTCTTGTTTGGTTCGAAAATTTTTATCCGCTCTCTCTCCCTCTCCTCCGCACCCCCCCCTTAGGGGTCTTTCCCCATCACCTAGCTCTCGTCCTTAGCACTCATACCTAGCCCCTGAAGGCAGCATGGCTGATCGAAATTCGCTGGTAGCATCAGGGGCCCTGGTAGGGGCCCAGGGAGGAGCCAAGCCTTATAACCGACCCATGCAGCCAGGAAGGACCTTTTGGAGCACCCTTGTAAGTTTTTTAAGCCTTTCCTTTCCCCCCTTAGCCCCAAGCATCGGCGCCCTCCTGCGGGGGGGCAGGAACAGGGGCCGAAAGATCCTTTCTTCCACACACACAAATCACGTGACATGACATAGGACCGTGGACGCGCGTTTCGATTTCACGCTCACTTGGCCGACCATCGCATGCATGGCGCGCATTTTTCGTGCATTCAGCGGTTGCTAGCTACTTCGTACAAATCAGTAAGAGCCAGCCCTAGCTTGCATCTGCATGGGCTCTTCTCGGTCTCCGGCTTCATGGGCCGTTAGGCCCCGAGCCCTTTGCTTCTTCGTTTCCAGGGGCAGGGCTTAGGGCGCCACCCACCCGACCAATGGCGTCAGTAGGCGGCCTCTCTGCATGCCCCTTGGCTCCACCGGCCTAGCACCTCAGTTCGCCGCCTTCATCTACCACCTCCCAGCCGCCGAGCGCTAGTTCATGGTTTAGGGTTTCTACACATCGCCTCTTAAGGCCAAAGAAGGGGTAGGGGGCCGGAGAGCGATCCGTAACGCAAGACCTGTAATCGGTGAGAAAGCCAATGATACGTAAGCGCCCAGTTCATGGCAGTAGTATGGGTTTATTTTTCAGGATTACCTAGCAATACATAAACGCCAGAAATTACACGACGTTTAGTAAGTAGTCTAGTCGCTGTCGGAAGTAATTCGTAGTAAAAAAAAAAACACCGGGAAATCCAGGTGAAATTCACGGCTTTTTACCGCAGGCCACCCATTACGCCTGGGCTCAGGGGTAAAACACCCGGAACAGGGGTGGGACGCGATTGACGACGTCAAGACGAAGCCCCCAGGTAAGGAAGGAACCCCCCAGACCAGCAACAACTCATCTTCGCCCGCGAAGAGCTCAAGGACGGTTGGACGCCGTCGGACTACAACCCAACCAGCCTTGGAGTACAAAGAGCGTCGAGACGCAACCCCCATTTGAACGCATACCGCGGCAAGACCCACGCTAAGTATTTACCGTTAGATCTCCCATTCAAGTACGAGCTAGCATTTTTCTTTAAAAATTCCGGTCAGTAGGATTCTTCCTTACGGTATTCTCGGTGACCTGGCTTTCAAGCTAGAGCCAAACTTGAGTAACCCTAACTTCCGTTGAGGCACCTTCAGCGACGCCGATGGGGCGAATTTAAGCCCATAGGATCCTTACCTCGTCGCCGTATTTTTAGCAACACAGCGCGTTTTCATGTTAGCCAATCAATCGCCCTGATTCCATCTGCATGGGGCGCTTCTACCCCAATGCCATCTTGGGCTGCTCGGCCCACACCTGTTCAGGGCCCACAAGCAGTTGGTCTTCTGCGCTCAATGAGAATTGCGGATGTTTCCTCTTCAATTGGATGAGCCTGGTCCCGGCCTTGATAACGCTACGGGAGGCTAATGCGCGTTGTCTTTTAACTGGAGCTCCCAGTCCTGCTACGCGAGCCGCCCAAACGTCTCCAAACGTCTCCGCCTTCCGATAGCCACGGCACAACGGTAAGGAAGTGGGAAAGCACGTCGTGTATTGCGATGCACGAAACACCAAATGATTTTTTTATGTACATGTAAACAGATGTACTGTTTAAAACGACGGGTTCCTTGACAACGCAAAAGTTAAGCACTCAATCCATCGAGTCGGGGACTGGTGCCCGGATGAGCTCGGGAAGCTTCACAAAGATACCCAATATCGAGGCCAAAGACCATTCCTCTGTTTACAGCTAACTAGCCTTTTGTTTGTAACCATGTCTTATCGGGTTTGACAAAGACGTTCGCCATATATCAGGAAACTAATACGGGCGCGATCTGAAACTCTCACGGTCCATTGGCTGTTCCAGATTCCAATTGGGGACTGACGTTCGAAGGTGCTTGGGCAAGTGAATCCAACACCATGAGGCTTCATCCCAAATGGTGGAGATGTGAGCTGTATCCACAGGAAAGGACGCTCATCTCGACACGTTAACGAAAAAATCGGCAGACGTCATCGCTCGGCGTACCGTCAGCAAAATGACGTAAGTCACAATACATATCTCCTACGTTTACATAACAATTGAATGGTAGAATCGACTTATGTAACCGGTCGATCGCAATCTGATTCCGGGGCTCTTTCGTTGTTTCTTCCATTCAGTCTGACGACGCAAACAAAAACCCCTCACTGCCTCACCTGCCTACCGCATTCGTCGCTGGGAGCGTTTGCGCCCCAGTCTTCGTTTGAAAACCAGGAAACAGGATAGACCCGGCAAGGGGTGGCGTTTTCGACGTGCACATGACGGGCTTTGGACTTGCATGGGTGAGGCGTGAAACACATGGCTGAGAGACGCTAGAGGTGAGTCCCTTTTCCCATCGTTCGACAATTCGCGTTCATTACCCGTCGAAAGTGCGCTATGGCCCCCGATGCGTACTATACGCGTTCCCTACGAGCCATCCCCGATTGGAGTCCGATCGGGCACTCTCCACGACCGTCTAAAGGATCCCCTTGCAGGTGTGTCTACAGCTCAACGACGAGGGGGACTTCCTTCCTCCTTCCCCCGTTCAACCGCTTCCGTTCGTTTATTCATTTACATTTCACAATCCGCTCTGCAAACACGAATGCCGAGAAGTCCGCCACCCCCTTCACCTTTCCCTCGTCCTTCAGCACCGCCTCCCATCCAAAACTATCAACCCGGAGCCCCCATTTTATTTTCTTTTGTTGTGTATATAATTCCCGCTACTTTGTAGCGGGTCTTGTGGGCTTAGACTGAATTGCCGTGGTCCTGTTCGAACCTAATCCATGTGATAGAGCGAGTAACGCGCGTATGGTCCATGGAACCATTTATGTAAACCCTTTTTTTTCAGGAGCTGTTCCACCATACAATCTAACTAATAGACGACAATACTGCAGATCTTGCAAGTCCCATAGGTTGTCATGAGCCTGGGGCTCAGATGTTGAGACCCCGCTCATGAACCGACGCGTTCAGCGTCCATCTTATTGGCATGCGACAACACTCCCACCGCTCCGCTGCCTCGTCCGTTGTTGATCCTGACGTCATCCACACGTTGCTATGACCGTGCCATGGCCACCTCCACATGCACTCTTGCCCCATCCCGTCCAGCACCACTGGCAGTGCCGACGAAATGGTCGCATTTATCCTTCTGCATCTTCCCTCCGCTCTGCTGTGACCACCTCCGTCCGCAACACATCCTTCCAACGGCCCCGGTGCTCATCTCTCTCCTCCATCCCGATGCATTCTATGCAGGTATCCCTCATCGGTCCCTCCCACCTTGTTACATTGCCCTCATGATATGCCGTTGTGACGTCGCGTTCCATTCTCGGCTGACATGCCGATGCAGAGGTTCGCCCTTCGCACTCGACGATCCTACCCCACCCCCCGCCACTGCTCCCCTGCGTTGAGTCGGGACACGAGTTACACGCAGTTCTGCATTGGTACGCTGTCAATGGGCCCGTGCATAAAATACTATGTATGTATATCAGATGTGGCCAAGACCATCACTTTTCATGTCCCAGCGAAATATGTCATCGTTAAATGCAACCGTCGTCCTCCCGAGAAATATCATCGATGCACACGGTGAGGGGAAGAAATCGTCTAGGGCTCGGCCTTCTGCAAGTTCTTCGATTTTGCGGACAGGATCCCATTGTGGCCACACGTCCCGGTGTAAGGGAAAAACTGATGGATCGAGGCTAACCAGCGACGGGTGGGTCGATTGGAGCTAGAGCTGCTCCGATCGGGAGGTTTATGTTGATTACCGAGTGTCTGTCTCGAGCTGCGATTCATGGTTGTTGCCCAGGGGCATGGCAATAGGCCGGGGTGGAGATTTGAGTGGATTTGGGAAAGCTTGTGTGCAACAGGCAAGCAGCGAAACACTCGGGATGTTAATTCCACTATTAACAACGCCCTTACGAGAGGATGAGGCCGACTTGTTGGACCTGCTCGAAGTCGTGTCTTAGTAGTGCCTGCCGCAAAATTTCTAACGCATTCTGGACTGTCCAAACTCACGCAAAAACCTCCTTCCACCAAACCCTACTCCCACCAATGGGTTCTCAAACTAATGAATATTTTCTCCCAGCTCTCCCTTGGTTCTGATCTCGCTGTGGTTTTGTTTGTCAGGACCGGAATGTTCTGGATAGCCAACGGCTCCCATATCTGAGACTCACGCGCTCACATCATGTCGCCCCAATACCGTAATCCCTTCACACCAGAGTTTCACAAGCCATTCCGCAACGAATACTTTAAGCGCTGATGCAAAATGATTGGGCTTTCACTTGACCTCAGACTACAAATAGGTCCCCACCGAGTCCTGATAGCTCTGCCGTTACTTTTGTTTTCTTGAACATTGTTAAACATGTCAGACTCCACAGCAGAATGAGGTAGACATGAAAAAATGGGGGTTCGTAAGCAAAAGTGCCATATATCATCCCTCTCCCTTCAGAGCTGCACAATTGGCAAAACCTCTACAATTGACAGCCTTACATATAACTGGAAGGAGGGGACAGGCAACCATTTGCCTTTTGGGTGAAACACCTGATTTGCAAATGTTGTACTATCAGTAGCAACATAGCTGACAATGACAAAATGCTGTTTACCGACTCAGTTGGGACTTTGTATACAATTTCCATACCAATGGGACAGTGAGTGAGTCCTTCCGGAAGTGTCGACCCAAATGATAACAACATAATGATCAGGAAAGAGAAATGAATGAATGCGTGGGGAGAGTGAAACATACCCCATTGAACAGGATCAATCAGCACATTATCCTGGATTCTGACCAGGTCACCCTCGTTGCTGGACCTCAGAGCAATCATGCAGCCAGATCTGCATCCCTTCTTGGGCAGGATCTTTCTGCATGAGCAGAAAACATTGGGTTCATTTGTAAATATGGACCAGCGTACTGTACCCACGTGACCAACTACCGGTCACACGTCACGCTGGCCTCCCAGTCCGGCCGAAATGACGGTCATGTCACATGTCACGCTGGGGGTGCGGTTGAACAGCCTGTGTCACGCAAATTCCTTGTGACGGCTCAGTGGCTATGCAATTATATTTCAAATGCCCTTTTTAGTAATATTTATATTAGAAGTGAAAAATCTTCATCTCCTCCTCCAAATTGCGTGCCCACCTTGCTTGCATTCCACGGCCAAGATCCAAGCTGAGGCTAGAGGAAGGGAGCATGGTGATGTCATCAAGGGTGTCAGACTCAGCTTCCTCAGCACAAGTCCGTCCCGCTTGTAGGCCACCATCAACTTCCTCAAGTCCATCAGGCACATTCCCAGCCACATGCTCGAAGACTTCATCCACCATCACATCAACATCGTCTTCTGGGATATCCGGGAACTCTCGCTCATGTACAGTAGAGTCAGGACCTGAGTAGATGTCACCCCCAATGTGTGGCGGCTTTCGTGGTGCTGCGATTGCTCTTGCAAGGTCAGGATTGTTAGAATTCTTGGTATTATGGTGTTCGCTATGACCAACTCACGTTTGGTGATGTTGAGTCATGTGGCGTTTAGATTTACACCTATTGCCTTTCTTGGTGGCGTCCGTGCCAAAGTCAGTGCACATTCATAGCGCCTGACTATAAAACCCCAATTTTTGGACAACCCAACCTTCCCTCAGTTCACGTACAACGGGACTGAGGTATGTTGGTTATATCATGTTTAAATCATGTACTAAACATTAGTCCACCAGCGATAAACTCGCTAGGTGATTACTTTTTAATCTATTCTAGTTCACGTACAACGGGACTGAGCGATAAACTCGCTAGTCCAACATTTCGTCTTATAAGGATCGGTCTGGTGAAGAGTGTTGAGGATTACACGTAGTGGACAGCTGGTCAGGCTGGAATGGGAGAGGTTAAAATCACCTGAACAACATAGTTGAAAGGCCTGTATTTTGTTAGCGCCATAGTTAGTAGTCATAGTGTTGTTCCTCACTTTACGAATTTTATCCTGCTGATTCATAACATGGAAAGTAAACCAATGTTTCAGGGACATGGTCCCTCAGTACAGGAAGCCTGGTGTCGAGTTTTATATCGCATGAGGAGATCCCATTTTGCAACTGAGAGTAAACCTCTCGCACGGCAGCCAACTGCTGTGATTGCTTTACTGCATGTTTCAGTGGACGCTGGATGCCAACATCACAGGGTTGCCATAGGCCCGTGCATCCACCTGGAACATAGTCAAGTATGATCCAAGGATAGTTGTTGTACATCCAGATATGAAATTCGAGAGATGTATGAACGGGCCACACATCAAGTTGCCAGATACACTCCTGCAGTGGATTGAGAGATAGCCGTTCCTTTGCAGCGCTAAAGTAAGGAGCCAGTATATGTGATATGAAAGATTTTATTGTTGTAAGGTTTGCCCAGTATGTATCATTTCCAGAAAACTCGAAAATAAAGCCAAGTTGCATGGCTTCGTCATGACTAGGGGCATGTGTCGAAGGCAAACTTGCTGGGGTCTTGCCACGAAAGATGGCCTGGAATGGCAAAAGAACCCTGCTAGCAGAAATGGCCACATTTAGAGTAAATGCACGCTTCTCATCATGCCCCACAGTAGAAACTTGATGGGATCCCTTCCGTTCGTATGTGGAGGCTGAATTCTGTTGATAGATCACTTGTGTCTGATCTGAAATCACCCGAAGACTATCAGGGATTGCATAATGGCGGATGGAGTAAGCTTGACGAAGCAGTGAGCAGTGGATTTTTTTATCGGCATCAGGTGGGATCTTTTGCGAAGCACGAGTTGCCTGTCTCAAGCTCCAATTCATTTCTTCTCGGAGAAACCTCCGGACCCATGTCATGCTCACAGCGAACACACTCCCATCTTCCTTCACAACAGTTCTCAGGATTCCAGGCTGGGTATGTTGAATTTGGGCAATGATGATGCCACGGATTTGGTGGGCGTCCAATGCAGCACCAGCCTGTCGGATGCCCAGCAGCGTTCACTTGATTGCAGCGATTGTATCTGGATAGGATGCCTGTGCGTCCCAATTCCTTCTTTAAGTTTTTAGAATACTACTAACCATTCTAGACTCACCAATATCCCCCTCTTCGTAACATTGCCTCCTGGACAATTTTCTTTTGCAACCTTCGCGAGTGTTTTGTTGGACCAACGTGGACATGACCCCGTGCGATCAATCCACTTACCAACGACATCAGGATGCAATGAGTGAAAGAGCCTTGGGCTTCTCAATTGACATCCTTTTGTTATTTCAGTGGGACTCATGTGCCAGCCAATGGTCGCCACTACTTCAATTATTATTGTCCAGAAGGCAGGCTGGAACCAGTTCGTCGCCGTCGCAAACTTGCGCACTCTTTGACTATGAGGGTGTATTGCATTGTGAGTGGTCTTTCTGCGCTTCTGTTCTCTCAACCATTGCTGAATATGACGCTTCGGCCATGACATCTCTGCGATCGGGACTGGCTTGCTTGGAGCACAAGTATTTGGTTCCATGGCATCAGCAAAAAATTGTTATGCTCCTGAGTGCTCCGAGTATCGAGAGCACTGGGAGAATCAGGAGGAGATTGGCCGGTCCAGGAACAGCCCATTTCCTCCAGAGTTGGCTAGGTACTCCAGGGCATTCCCAGGAGGGCCTGGAGCATTGCTTTGTGCACAAACATATCCAGTAAATACAATTTAAATGCTTCAAAGTGTATAGGGGTGAGAAGCTTCTGGGAGCTCCTGGAGCATTTGAAAATGAAAAGGAAAAAAGAAGAGGGAAGATCCCCCATGAATACCTCCTACCACAAGACTAACACAACAAGACACTGCTTAACATTTAGATCAAACACTATACTATATACCAAGGACACTGAGACTCACCAATACACAATCAAAATTTATGGCCTGATATATGATTAATCTGGCAACTTAATCACTTTCAGGCTGGCAGAATATGGGGGAGGGGGAAATGGGGGAGAATGAGGGGGGGAATGAGGGGGGGAATGAGGGGGGAATGAGGGGGGGATATAGAGGGAAATGAGGAAAATTTGAAAAATAGGGACTTCTAAAAAGTTGAAAAAAATAATTAGGGAAAAAATCAAAAAAAATTCAGGAACTGTAGTGCCTTTGAAGTGCTTTCAGGATATATAATTATTTGCAAAATCGAGGAAGAAATGATGGAGAAAAATGGAAAATACTTTCGGAGACCCGAGAAATAATGAGAACTGAATTGATGGGAAAGTCTGAAAATTGAATAGGAAAGTGAGGGGAAGCCTTGTAGCATTGTTATTTTCTGCTGTTCTGATTTTTCCCGATTCTTCTTGGTCTCATTCCCAGCTGCTCCTCAATACTCCTGGAAGCTCCTGGGAGGGTCCAGGAGCAGCTGGGAGTGAGACCAAGAACAATCAGGAAAAATCAGAACAGCAGAAAATAACAATGCTTACAAGGCTTCCCCTCACTTTCCTATTCAATTTTCAGACTTTCCCATCAATTCAGTTCTCATTATTTCTCGGGTCTCCGAAAGTATTTTCCATTTTTCTCCATCATTTCTTCCTCAATTTTGCAAATAATTATATGTCCTGAAAGCACTTTAAAGGCACTATAGTTCCTGAATTTTTTTTTGATTTTTCCCTAAATTTTTTTTTTCAACTTTTTAGAGACCAAAATTTTCCTCCCACTGCTCCTGGCACATTACATACTCCTCACCACTCCCAGCTGCTCCTGAACCCCCTCCCAGGAGAACACTATTGGCTCCAGGAGTGCCCAATCTGCTGTTTTGTCTCCCACATGCTCCAGCCACTCTTGATGCTCCGGAGCATAATGGACTTTTGCTGATGATGTTGAGCAAGCGCTGAACATTTCTTTTCATTAGAGGCCACAGGGATTCTACTGAATAAACTTCACCTTTTTCTTTGTGCTGTTGCTGCCCATTTCCAACTTCGCTCTGTGACACCATTTGTCATATCCGTGCATACCCGACCCCGACCCGACTTCCGGACCTCCACCCTCTTCACCTCCGGAGTCATAACCTACCGCTGCCGTTCTGATACTCACCTTCGGTCCTGGCAACACACCTCCTCCTTACCTCCCCGACCCTATCTCCGTCCGCTCCGATACTCATCTTGGACCGAACACCACCCCTCTCGCCACCCTCCTACTACTCCGCTCCCCCTTCACAACACCTCCACCCTCCTGTTATCCTCCTACGCTTCCCCCGTCCGCTCCGATACTCACCTTCGGACCTGACTACTCTCCTTTCCGCCACTCCTTCTCCCCTTACCTGTCCCCTCTCTCCTCCCTCCGTTACTCCTCCGCCACCCTTCCGCCAAGTTACGACCTTCCACCGCTGTCCTGTACTTCGCACTCGGACACCGCTCGTACCTTGCTCCGAGCCTCCATCATAGTCCCTACCTCGGACTTTGACTCCACCTCGGTCTTAGTCCATTGCATTGGTGACCTCATACTATGTAAACACCATTGCCAATATCCCTCGGACTTTCAACCCCGCCTCCGTAACCTCCGTAAGCTCCGCAACCCCCGAGCTTTGCGGATCGCCTTCGGCACTCTCGCCGCTTGTAATGTATTTCTCGCGTTTTCCCCTCATCCCTATTTGGACTACTGCTTCTTCCTATTCTAGCCAGTTAGTCATCATCCCCACTTCCCCTCATCCTCCTGCCCCTCTGGGCCTCGCCCTCCCTACCTCCTTTCGGACGTATCACAGGTCCTACCTTATGACCTTCGGTACTGCTCCGCTCCTTCTACCCTTTGTTCCCGTTTGGACGTCTTCGTTCCGATTCGGTTACCCTTTGTTCTCCTTGTGCTTTTGCCCCTTCCATTATATATATCGGCGCTTGTACATACTCGTTTTGGTTTTAGTCCGAAATCGACCTGAAATGCCCCCTAGAGACTTCCTGCTCACCTACTGTGAAATTAAGGACCAAATGGACAAACAGCAATGGCACAGCGCTCCGCTTGAGTCGCTGAGGCCAAGGTCCCTCCACGCTAAGTCTCCGATTCCACTCCGGAGTCGTCCGAATCCGCCCGTTCTAACACCATTGTCTTTCCTGTGCTAATGCTCGACTCCTCTCCAACTTCTGTCTTTCTGCATGTTGCCATGCCAATTTCGCTTCCTCACATCTTTCAGTGATTCTTTCGAGTTCGATTGATTTTTGCTTCTCATATTCCTCCCAACTTACTCGGCTGAAGAACCGCAGCAACCCATGTTCCTGAACCCCCTTCGGCATGGCCAAGTCCAACTTCTGTTTTTTTCCCTTCGATTTTCTGACATCTGAACTAACTGAGGACTCCACCACAGCTCTGCTAGCTCCTTGATTTACTGGGTAAGTCGGTTCTGCTACTGTTAGGAGTCCTGTCGGAGTTTCCGTTGCTGTCACTTGGATCGTTGTATGGTCTGAGGTCATTGGCTGCTCAGTTTCTGCTACTGGGGTCATTACTGCAGGGGTAGCCACCAATGATGAGAATGCCATTGGCACTGGCTCGGCTATCACTGGGTCTGATGGTCCAGTTATTTCTGCTGAGGTGGCTACCTCTGAGGTGGCCATCACCATCAGGGCAGTTGCTTCTGGGATAGGCGTTGCCTAATAACATGTCGGTGAGCTTGTTTTATCTGCTTAGCTATGTGTGGTCACTCACCTGTGCACTATGGTGGTCAAGGATTGATGTGATGAATTTGACACGCAGCATTGCGATGTCTTTGCAAAGTGGGTATTTCATTGGAATAAAACAGTGCATCAACGCATTGAGAGCGAAGAAACCACATGAAGTGGCATCATTTTGATAAGCAATCGGCAGCGGCGCAACGTGAAATGGAAGAACTGATTGATTTGATTCCAGATAAGACATGTTGAGCCACCATTGAAGAGCATTGACTGCCTCCTTGGCTGCGATGTCAACTCCTGTTGGCTGGTGTAAGGAGTCTGCGAGGTAAATGGTTGATTCTGTGGCGGAGATCACAAAGGCAACCCAATGATTGTTGTTGATGTGAGTGATCCCACCAAACTGAGACATAGTTCCAGATGAGAGCTCAGAGCCAAATCTGCGGAGAACTTTGCAGGTACAATCATTTGTGTATCTTTTGTGGCCGTTCCCATCCAGTTGCATGGCACATCCGGTCAGGTACTGGACATCAATGGGGCTGAAGAGCCTAGCATGTATTCCGTGGGCCTCCAAATCCCTTTCCAGAAGTTCTATGTGGTATGAGATATCGGTGGTTACGAGACAGGATAAGGTGAGATGACGTATCAGTCCCCCAATTGAACCCAAAATTGATTTTGAGAATCCAAGGACTTCGGTATTCCATTCGCATGACAGGAGTCGATTTATGGCCACCTTGATGGCAATGCGGTGAGTAGGGAAACGGCTTGCCAGTTTCTCAACTTGCGCCTCTGACTCTCTCCACATCCTCTGGACATTGTGAATCTGAAATAGGACTTCCCAAATTCGGACAATGCTGACAGGGACATAGTGGATGCCGATTTTTACTGAACAAGGTGGGTTATCGTCATTGGGATCATATTCAGAAATGATTTTCTTTATGATAGGGCAGGATGGGCAGGGCATGTTGCGGAGGTCACTTTCAGCTAATGCTGTGACAGAGGGTGGGTGATTACTGAGAGATGCAGATGTAATTTGTAGATTTGTTTGGAATGATGGGAGTTTGAACTGGAGAAACCCAGTGATGGACAGGGTGTGTCTGGGAAAGTAGGACCCGATAAGTGTATTTGGGATACCGCTGTACAGGATGGGCTCATCTGTATGAGAGCAGATATGTCGCGCAAGAGCAAAACCATCCATACTTAGGTGCAAAGAAATTTTAAAGGGAAACTCATTTTCAAATTAATCACATTTATTCTGGCTACCAAATGTGACCATCAGCATGTTGGTTTCCTTCTGGATCATGCTCCCACGGTCAAGGTCACACGCCTGCTGGTCGGGTTGTCACGCATCAAAATGAGCTCCCGGTTCATTACCTGGCAGAAATTTTGTGTCACGCTTGGGATGCACCGGTAGTTGGTCGCGTGGGTACAGTACATGAACGGTGTCTGTCATGGTGCGTAATGATGTAAGTGGAATGAAAGACAAGACAGCCAGATGAGGACATACCCATATGGTTTGGGAAGATGTTGGAGTGCTAGAACAGGGATGAGGATAAGGACTGATGTGCATGCTCTCAACTTGAAGGATGTTGATGCTGACCTTTTGGTGAACAAGCAATGATCCATGGCATTTTGCCAGGGAAGCTGGTAACAGAATAACTGCTGGGTATGGAATCTAGAGAAGAGAGTCGGACTAGGTAGAGAATTGAGGAGTGACCAACTATGAGGGAAAAGAAAAAATACCGGAATGTTCCGGACCTACCAGCGGTTGGGCACCTATTACTCATCACGGGATCAATATAATATGCACCTATAGGCACCCCTCCTAATGTACCTTCTTAGATATATAGACGCTCTTTCAGTGCACGCACCCACGCACTGGTGCAACTCTCAGTACTAATAGTACTGATATGGCTATCAGGCCCGAAGGGCCTGAGAAGCTCCGGGGTACCATGACCTGAAATACCGGAAAACCCCTCTATGCCACAACTCCTTTGGAGTTCACTGTCACATGTCACTCCAGCAACTTGCTGACAACATCTCCGGATCCATCATCATTGTCATCATCGACATTGTCATCAACGTCATCAACGTCATCAACGTCATCAACGTCATCGACGACTTTGACAATATTTCTTTATCTAACACTTCATTCTCTCACAAATTAACTATCCTACACATGTTTCTTTGTATCTCTGTCACTTCGGCATCATGACTGATGGTGCCTAATTTCCCTTAGAGCCTTGATGTTGTCTCTTAGATTCTTTTGATGTTTTATGTAAAAGGTATATGTAATCGAACAATGAGCGAAAATTTGTCTGATAGGCTACTAGTTGCCTTATATGGGTGAACGTGAACATTGTTGCTTATCATATTAATGTTGTGGGGCTACTCCAGAACTCCAAGCAAGATGTGTACCCTCACTAGTTTGATTTCAGTGCATCACCTCACCTTCCCCAATCCCGTGGATTCGCCCTCGAAGGGGCTTCGAGGGAAATTCCCACACTTTACTGAATTGATTTTTTGTTCTCACGACCCCTTCGAGGGCATTCCCACGACCCCTTCGAGGGAGTTCCCACGCAACATTTTGAATACTCCCTTCCTTCCCACAGCCCGGTAACTCCCTTCATCACATCACTGAGCAACACACATCGTCCTCACTGTTTCCCACGGCCTACAGAGTTGTGGCTCGACAATTTCCGATACTCTCGGAATAGGAACCGACAACATTTCTCACGCTACTGGTATTGACCCCGTGACCCCAAACTCAATAGAACGCCCCCAGTGCCGCTAAAAGTGTTGTTATCAGGCTTGTCTTCACGCTTGGTCCTATTGGGTTGGGTTTTGGCAATTTCCAAAACTCTCGGAATATGGACCGGCAACCTTTCCCATCCTATTCCCGTTGATCCCGTGACCCCGGCTTCAGTAGGATTCCCTCGGTGCCGCTAAACATCTTGTTCACAGGTTTGGCCTGTTTATCATGTGTGCAATGGTCTGTTAGTTCTGGTGCTTATGGGTTCCAGGGCTTCTTGATCGAGTAATGCTATCCATTTCACATATTATTTCGTATCTTGTATATTTTTCTTCATATTTTATGTGTACACTATTAATTGCAAAATTATATTTTGCCTCCTTGTTCGCATATTGTACTAGCCATGCCGTATTTCTCATTTCTCATTGCCCACCGGGGGTTGGGTTTGCGTAGTGGGTTGGATTTGCGTGGGGCTGTGGTATGGTGTGCGGGCTATTGAAAAAAAAAAAAACAATCCCATGTAACATTTAGCGTGAAGTGAGACAGCCCCCGCAGCGAAGCGAGGACTGGGGGCTGGGGAACGAGCGGAGTACACGCGAGTAGCACCATCACTGTTGTCATATGCAACACTGTGATCTGCATTCATAATAACGCCCCGTGCCACCATTCCTACTAATTTGAGTGCTGTTCCCTGGTGCTCCCATCTGCACCTGCCCATACCTTCAACATCCCTGCCGTCACCCCAACCGAGCTTGCCCCTGTGACTGCCATCATCACTGTCACCAATGCTGGCAACCCTGTAGATTTCAAGGCCACCCACCTGCTCGCAACGCCTGTGCGCTTGTGGAGCAGAACCCTTGGCACGTACTCATTCAGCTATTATGGCACCTTTACCTTCTACCAGTTGTTTATGACCATACCTTCAGTGCCAACAAGATTTCCATCTAGCTGCGCATTTCGAGGATGCAGCCACTGCCCGCCACAGCAACGATGAACATGGGAGTGCGGTATAAAAGTTCTCGTTCCTTGATCAAGGAATCCGCATTGTTCAGTGTCATCATGGTTCCTGTGTCATTTGCATGTACGTATCTTATTTTACATATCCTCGTTTTCTTGTGGGCGAGGTTCATGGGCTCCGTTTTCGTCATTTCGGCCTCAAATGAGCCTATTTCATCGAGTAAGAAAATAAGAAAAAAATCCTCTTGTTTATTCACATGTTCCTCGAACGTTTTGTGATTTTTCCTGATTTTCACGACAATGTCATTCCGAGTGAGAGTCCAATGGAGCAGCTCGCAATTTGGAGGCTCATGGGAACTCCCCATGCCGAGAAAAAATGGTAGAAATTTCCCCGTGGTTATTTAGATGCTGTTCTGTTATCCAACAATTTTATACGATTTCTATGACTGCAGAGTTCCACGCTAGGGCCTCATGTATATTTTTTCGCTTCAATCCCCTCATTCTCCACCATTTCGTACTCCCACGATGCGTTCTTGGGCTCTAAATGTAGAGTTGATTT